TTACTTAAATAATTTGTTGACTCAATTTGCTATTACTATTAGGTTATTGATTAATATTATAGAATATTGAGACTTACTCCTAATCTAACCCATCATTAGATCAGTTATCAAATTGTGTCAATAAGTTGAGTCAAGGTAGTATAATTTACTAGGGTTTCTTGTACTTTGCATCCAAAAAAATTTTAAGATTTTTATTTTATATATTCAAATATTAAAATTTTCATATTGTACCCTCAATATATCAAAAATATTACAATGTGATCCTTTTTATTTTTTCTATCAAAAATCAATTTATTGACACTGACAAAAAAACTAATAAAAAATTAACATAAGAGTCACATTGTAACAACACTTTTGATATATTCAGGGTACAATATAAAAACTATTGGTATACTAGATTAATCCCATGATAAACAAATTGAAAGAAATACTTTGGAATTTGAGAAGAATGTTAGCCCTCCCTCTCTTTGGTGAAAAAGAGAATCTTGAAAAAATCAAGGAAAAAACCTTTCTTGATAGGTGAAAATAGTACAAACTAAATTTGTCATGCGCATGTGTCTTAGAACAAATATTCTACAATCTTCAATTATCGTTCATAGAGCGTTTTTGCTCATTTGCCTTCAATGTATGTTTTTGTGGTTGTTAGCACGCAAAATGCTATCATCCTCTGTTGTTACGTAACAATAGAAGTCTGCTTATGTTGTTTCAGCTCTGGATTGGAGTACTAGTGGACACGGGGAGGAAGCAGATAAAGCAAAGAAACAATTGGAAAGTACGTGACTCCTAGACCAAAAAATTCAATTTGATATTGAGCCAGCTTTGGGTTGAGTCTGAGTTGGCGTGCCCCCTAGAAATAGTAGTGTTAAATATATATTTTATCTCTGACAATTGTTTTTGCTTAAAAAATGTACTTAATATTCCCTTACTAAACTTTGTGTTAGTTTTTTAATGCAACCAATCAGGCATAAGTAATATTGATCATCTTCTATTTGAGGTCTAATGGATGCTTATTTGATGTTTGCATTACTACTATAGTTGATAACCATTAACCTGATGCTGATGTTTTTGAGTATGAGTTTAGTCTAAATCGGAATTAAGATATGTTATGACATTCTGCATCACGCATTAGTCTTCAAGTTTTTAATGTTTGTCCTTGAGTAAGGGGCGCAAGCCAGCACACTGAAAGCATGTTGAGACGCTGTGGGAACCTTGAGAATGAATACCAAGTGATCCCATGAAAAGAACCTGGCAATAGGTAGATCACTCTTTTAGGCATAACAATAGAACTAATGTTGAGGGGAAAAAACATCTAAAATCCTGCAAGTTGTAACCTTGAAGTAGCTGTGTTTGGTTAAAATTATTACACTGCAAAACTGGAAAAATCTGAGTTACAAGTTCAACTGGAAAAAAGAGATCAGACTTGAAACGATGACAAGTGCTCATCAGTCCAAGTGGTGTGTTGTGGATTGGAGTTGGTAAGTTCGGAATTCAGTTTCTCCAAAATGGGAGGTAAACATGTCTACCATTTAGCTCTCTCAAACGCAGCTAGAGGCAAAAAAAACCTTGTTCGACTGGGGACATTGGATAGAAAAATGACAGTTCCCAATCAGCAAAATTAATAAGAATGTTTCTAGCAATACATCATTCATGCATAGTGGATCATATATATGGTTCTATTTTTAGTCTGTCTGTGTGTTGGAAATTCACACTAGTACACACTGATACTCTACTTAAAGTTCAAACAAAGAATATGGGGTAATTAACTTCCAAACTCCAAAGAATTGAATCAGCTGAAGAGAAATTCAACGTTTGTGACTATTTATTTTTTGGGTCATCCGGTACCCAACAGAAATTCAGGGTAAACCAACCTGCATAATCATATTCAATTGAAGTAGTAAATGATGTGACCCAGTTGCCAAAAGGGACACTGTAACAGGGTTTGCCCATCATGGGACCTTAGCATCCATACTGTGTATGACAGTCTTGATGCTTCTAGGAATGACTTCACATATTGCAGACTGATCACCAAAAGAACCGGATCATCTCCTCCATTGACTAAAATGGAGCACCCATGCTGCAGAAAAAGAAAATCAACTTTTAATTTCTCAAACTAAACCAGTTTCTGGGGTTGTGTATAAAAATGTGATTAATGCTTCATTAAGTGCAATCAGCATACAGAGTCAATTCTTTGTCAAAAACAAAGGGTCCTTCGTAGAAAAAGTGACAATTTAGAGAGGTTGGGGAGAGTCCAGGCGATTTTTTTTGTTTTGGGGTGGGGGCACACCTGCTTTGTGAGGACCATCTCCCTATTTGCTGTGGTGAGTTTCACTTGTGCAGCAGTTACACGTATGTTCACTGGAGTATAATAAAAATGTTAGTACACATGGCCTAGATCATATGGAAAGAGGGGAAACTTTATACAGAGGAAAGGAAAAGAAACTGCAAAAGCTTATATATTACACACATAGATTGAAAAGCCAGCATAGAACATCTTCAAGCCATGCTCTTTTTGATTAAGAACAATAAAAATAACAACTATTCACACATCATTCATCGTCTTCATACTGATGGGAGAGGCTTTAGAAGATACCAAGGTTAAAGATTTTAGCTCACCCTCTTATGTATACGCTAACATCAGGCTCATTGGTTTGGAAATTACCTTAAGAAAAACTCTTTCCCCAATGTAAGTACTAAGGAAAGACAAATATTCCTGAAGATGATTCGTAGGCATGGTTCAAGTCTAAAAGTTTTCAGCCAACTTATGAAGACCAGAGGAAGAAGTATTCATAAGAAATTTCATTACAACTTCTTTAAATTTACTATAGCACTGAAGTTACTTACAACTTATCTACTATAGCAGTGAAGTTACTTACAACTATAGCAGTTAAGTTACTTACAAGCAGTCCATCAGCCTTCAAGTATAAGAGGGCATACCTGTCTCACCAAAACGCCTCAAATGTGTCAAAATTTGCCTAAACTTGCTTGATGGTATCCCAACAACCCGCTTGTGTTCGAATGGTGACACATATGGATACACATACTCAATGGGGGCATGACGTATTTTCACCTCACTGGTGCTCCGAATTCCTGAAATGTTTCTCACATTAATTTAGGCAGTCATTGCTGCTCAATCATTTTACTTCACTTACATGATATGCAATAATAACCCGACAAGAAACAACAAATTTCACTCAAGCAAAAAAATTATTTACTGCTAATACGAAGATCACGAAACAAAAATCCTCATAGTAATTGAAAAGCTACCATATATATATAAGCAAATATATTGATAAACACCTGATCTGACCTAATCTTGTGACAAACTTTCAATCAATGACAATGGCAAATCAGTGATTAGAAAAGCTGACAAATTGTTCCAAGAAATATGAATGTATATATATATTGTTCTTCATGACTCTGATTCTTGGAGAAAACCAGTCCAAATTAAGAGTGAAAATTTAATATACTTCAAATAAAAGATCGAAGTTCTTCAAGATTTTTTTTTTTTGGGTGTCTCGAAGAAAATGAATCAAACATACAAACTCTCATAATGCATCCACAGATTCTACATCATCTGTCTTTTTCATAATCGAAAATTTTAATTAAAACTTCAAGAAAAAACCAAAAACTTCACAAGATGCCCAGAAGAAAATGTGTATGATCTCTGAAAATTTTTCAAGATATCAATTCAAATCAGCACACAAGAGAACATAAATAGCTGATACAAGAAATCGAGTAGAGCGTGAGCTGACTGACCAGTGGTATCCTCAATGGTGATCTGAACGTGGTTGGAATTAGGTTTTTTATAGGTGTAAGTGATAGTGAGAGATTCTTGATCACTAATGGACTTCAGTACATCGGACAAGGACAAGAGGCCGATAAGAACCGTGTAGTCTCCATCACAATAATAGCTATTGAAACTCCAAGGACTGATTTGGAATTCTGCAACAACGCCAGGCCTTAGGACCAAATTCTTCATCAATAAACCAGCGGGTGAGCATTTGACAATGGCGACTCCATTAATTTCCATGAGCAGTGACACGGCTTTCCATAGTAGGGTTCCTGGATTTAACTTGAGCTGTAACATGGTGGGTGGGTGTGTGTGTGTGTGAGAGAGAGAGAGAGAGAGAGAGAGAGTATTGATCTTTGTTGTTTACTCAAATTGCTGAATGTTGGCGGGAAATATAACGGTTTATGTAAACTACTGTCATGCGAGAGCACCATGTGTCCTAAATAAAATATTCTACGATCTTCAATTATCATCGAGTATTCTCTTTTATCTGTCTTCTATGAATGTCTTTGTGATCGTTATCATGCAAAATGTTCTATTGTTTTATACATTGCAATAGAAGTTTGCTTATGTTGTTTCGGTGACGTTTTTTCGCCTTTTCTTTGCTCCGGACAAGAGTACTAATGGACACTTGGGGGAGCAAATAAAGCCAAAAAAAAATTTGAACGTACATGACTCCTAGACAAAAGAAAAAAGGTCGGTCTACGGTAAATATATTGTGATACAACACAACTATGAATGCCTTTGTGATCGTTATCACGCAAAATGCTCTATTGTTACAAACGTAGCAGTAAAAGTTTAGTTATGTTGTTTCGGTGGCGCTTTTTTTCTTTTTCTTCGCTCTGGACAAGAACACTCGTGGACATGGGGAGAGAGCAGATAAAGCAAAGAAACAATTGGAATGTACAGGACTCCTAGACAAAAAAGAAGTCGGTATACAATAAATAAATTGTGATACAACACAACATGACCCATTGTTTACCCTAACTTTTATTTAATGTATCTATCAACAGTATCACCTTGCTAGACCCAAGAGTGATGAAAAATACAAAACCTCTTTGATATGCTTATAAATTTGAAACTAACCATGAAGAGTCACATATGAAGTTTAATCCCAACAAGAGGGTCTACCGAGAAATATAAATTTTTTGGACATTAAGGGTGTAATATGAAACCCAAAGTATGCATCGATATCTAGGATTGCTTGTGTTTAGTCATGTTCGTGTTCGGGTTCGAGTTCAGGCTCGGGTTCTGACTCTGCTGCCTCTGGTTCAATAGGCTTCACTGCACTTTTTTTATGAGTGGCAGCCTTGAGGACATGCTGGTAGTTCCCTTTCTCCATGAAGAGCTGAGCAAAATGGTGCTTGCAATAGAGAATTCCATCGAGAGCAGCATATGATGAATGTGTGAGGGGACAACCTCCATGAGCACACTTGAAGCATGTCTTGTGGTATGATTCTTCCTCCATTGTCACCTGTTTTAGAGTGATGATCAATGTCAATCGCAAATTTTTGAGTTCGATTACTTGTTTAAGTAAATTGTCCATTTGAGTCGGAAAATAATTTTCTTTAAAGTTAGAGTAAGAAGACTCTACTATAAACGAGTGTCTTATACCCTGAATTTGACACTTAAAATCACAATAAAGGAGGATTGAAGCTCGAACCCGAGTTGACAATTTTATTAAAGGATTAATGCCATGATAAGGACTATATAATTGCATACCTTTTCAAGAGGGTATAGAGTTTTTTTGCAAGCAGAACATTTATCTTGGGTTCCAGAGAACAAGGCAGAGAGTTTGCTTGGTACCTTTGTCTGCATATGATATCAAAATGAACATGTTTCAAATTTGTAATTGGGAGAAAAATTTTAACTTGACAGAAAGATCAACGGATATGTTTGGACGTCCCTTGTAATCAGGCTATGAGAGATAAATCTCTCATAAATACTCTACTTCTGTTGTTGATGATTTATTTTTGACTGGACCGAGAAGGGGATTAGTTAAGGTATGCTTGAGCTGAAATGAACACTCCTGACTATTGAACAAAAAAAATACATCGCCATATATTCAAATAGTTCAAATTTAATGCTTTCACATTTGCAAATCAACAAACAAGTCTTAGGTCAACTTATTTGGACCTAAACCAATTACAACTGTTAGATTAAAAATGACTTTCGTCTAACATTGAAATACATAACTAATCCAATAACTGTTTTAAATTAAGTTCTCAAATTAGATCTCTATAACATTGCTCGACATACACAATGTATTTAAGTGCAATCCAATAAGCACAAACAAGACTCACCAATAAGTAATAAATGGTTTATTATCGATAAAAATTGACTGAAAATATAATTGATAGATCTCGATCCTATAGAGAATCCAAATGCATGATCTTAAGCATGTAAAAATGTGGGTATTTGAACATACCAGTGAATTCTCCCTCTCAGGCTTTGCTGCACGAGTATCACCAGATAAAAAGAAATATATAGTAAGCAAAAAAATGAAGAAACAAAATTCAGAAAGCATAAAGAAGCATGAAAATAAAATGGGTTAATAGTATTTTTAGTCCCTAAAATATATATTTTTTATTAGTTTAGTCGTTTTTGTATCAATTTTATTAATTTGGCCCGTAAAATATTTAATTCGCGTCAAAAATTTAATAGTCCGTCTATGTAGGGAATTAAATGACACGAATTAAATATTTTAATGGCCAAAAGTGTTATTAATACAAATAAAATCAATGAGAAGGGTGGGTCCTACAAGTTTGAAAGTTCTTGCTGAAATTTCCAGATTCTTTAAAGAGCTGTTCAAAATGAGTTTTGCAGAAGAGGACTCCATCCATGGAGGAGTAGTTGCTCATCTGGAAGGCAAAAATCAAAGAGCTAGTTAGTGATAAGTAAACCTGAATATTTTGAAAATGGTAATTTATTATTAGAAATAGCAACTGCAACCTTAACATAAGCTTCTAATGCAAATGTCATTATCCATTTAGGTTTCCGTTTATTGGAAGTGCTAGGGGCGATAGATTGGATACATAAATATCTTTATTATAAGTGTCCTCTTGAATGTTGAAATGGTCATCACTTAAGTTCCTAGTCATAATTGTCACGTGTTGGCGGTCATGTTGTCAGGATTAATCTATTGGCATACGATTATACTGTCACGATTGATATACTACACACGATTATGTTGCTATGACCAACGTGTTACACACAAGTGTCACAACCGACATCGTCATGTCTTAAATTAATTCTCACCCCGACAAATGATCAATGGGGCATGTTTTGGCATGATCCATGAGAAAGTTTCAAACTTGTTATATGAAAAACAAAGCTTAGAAATGACTTTGTTTTGTAATATTTAAAATAATACAAAGATGCTTGGAGAAGAACATTCACATTTAAAGGAAATGAAAAAAAAAAAAAAAAACAGGGGAAAAAGAGGTATTTGAACAAACATACCACCAGAGTTCCTTTGCAGTGGCTGCATTTGAAACATGCTTTGTGGTAAGTTGTACCATCAGCAGACAACAAATCAACAAAATATACAGTCTTATCACAAGCCTTGCATTTGTCCAGTGTTCCTGTGAATGACATCTTTTCTCCCTCTTCGATAAAAACCGCGGGAATTAATAATTCCTTCAAGAATTTCTTAAAGAAGAGCTAATAGAGAAGAACCCAAAAGATTGGGCTGCCGAGGATTGAAAAAAAAAAAGTTCAATTTCAAGAATCGTTTGGTTATTCTCTCTTTCCTCGGTAATTAAGATTAAAAAGTCTTTCTTTTTGTTTAAACATAAACAATTTATATCTCCCTGTAATAGAAATTAACCATTTTTTGCATTGGTTTTAAAATTGAATTGAATTGCACCGACAATTCTCGGACACGTGATTGGAGATCCCAATATTGTGAGGAGAAGATGGAATTGTTAATGCTTTAAAATGTGGATGAAATCCTATGAAAATGGAGTGAAATGAGGCTGATGGTTTGACTCATTCTATGATAAAATTAATGAAAAAGACAAATTAGATTAAAACAAAAAAGAAGAAGAAGTTGAGTTTGTTGTACTGGCTTGACCCATATTATTTTCTTTCGGTTAATTATATTGGAGATCCCCGAAGTCAGAAGTTTGTCTCATTTTGATCTTTAATATTTCAATTGTATAATTTTGGTACTTGAAGTATTGAATATATTTTTATATAGTCCTTCATATAGTCTTCATCCAAATTATTAACAATTTTTTATCATTAATTTATCATATAATACTTAAATATGGACAAAAAAATAATTTGGATAACTTTTGACCAATTTTTTACTCAAATTTTGATTTGATAGTTACTAAATTATACAGTTTTGATCATGAGCTATCAAAATTTTAATAAAAAAAAATTATCTATATTACACCTTTTTTATCAAGAGTTATCCAATTTTTTGTTTAAAAACTATCAAAATTATTTTTTGTTCATATTTATGTATTACATGACAAGTTCATGATAAAAAATCGTTAGTTATCTAGATTTTGTCTATTTGAAAAATCATATAAAAACATATTCAATATGTCAAACATCAAAATGATACAATTAAAACATTAGAGATCAAAATAAAATAAATCTTATACTTTGAGAACATTTAGCCTTATTTTCTTGGAAGAATTATATTCAGACCTCCAGAAGTTTGTTACTTAATCACTCAGACCCCTGATATTTAAAATATTATACACAGACTCCTAAAATTTATACGAATGTAACACTTAAACCCCTACTGTAAATATATTCATTAATAAATTACACCTAGACCCCTTGAAGTTTATACACATATAATACTTACACTTCTTAAATTTAAAATATTATACTTAGACCAAAAAATACTCTAATTAAAGATAGAATATCAAATATTTTAAATTTTACAACCAAAATTCATATTCTATTATATCATTTATTGAAATAAAATAAAAAATTTAAATTTAAATTTTTCTTAAAAAATTATAATTAGTATACAATTATACTATTTATTGGAATAAAACTAAAAAAATCAAATAAGGGGTCTAAGTCATTCTTAATAGAACATGAATTTTACAACCAAAATTCATGTTCTATTATGTCATTTATTCAAATAAAATCAAAAATAAAAATCTAATTTTTTAAAAAAAAAAGTATAGTTAGTATACAATTATAATATCTATTAGAATAAAACTAAAAAATTAAATAAGAGATCAAATTGTAATGAACACAATATCTCTTAGCTTCAATTGAGATAGTGTGATATTTTAATTTGATCATTTAAAAGACAATATAATTTTATACTAATTACGATTTCTTAAAAAAATTTGAATTTTTATTTTTTATTTTATTTCAATAAATGATACAATAGAATATGAATTTTAATTGTAAAATTTAAAATATTTAATATTTTATCTTTGATTAAAGTATTTATGGTCTAAATATAACATTTTAAACTTAAGGGGTTTAAGTAATATATGTTTACAAACTTCAGTAAATTTGAATGTAATTTATTAATGGATATATTTATAATAAGGGTTTAAGTGTTATGCGCGTATAAAATTTAGAGATTTGAGTATAATATTTTAAAATTAAAAAATTTGAGTAATTAAGTGACAAATGTGAGTGAAATTCTTCCCATTGCTCTTTTCTTTATTCATTTCTATCGGGGTCTGACATTTGGATAAGTAGAAAAAGAAGTTGACGTTCCACGTGTAACAGTGGAACCCACAAAGAGCTCGGTGTTATCCTTAATCGTGAGCGACAAATTTACCTTAATAATAGATATTTAGGTTAGTTCACATGTTTGTCAGTAACACAATGATTTGCAACATTAATTCCGTCAAACTATTATTGTGAAGAACCGAACCCCCATCAGTAAGCCAGAAATTTGAGTTCTTACCACTTCCGCAAGCAACTTTTCGCCACGTAAAAGTGAGACATTCCCAACCGTTGGCTCTCAACAAGCCTTGGCTTAAAACTGTTTTGCTAGAGTTTCTTGTTAACAAAGCACAGCACCTCTCTGAAGCTTCACAAAACCCTAAATCTGTGGAGACTCTGAAACTTCTCATAAACTCTATATATTTCTGGGAAATTGTCTTGTCCTGGCCTCATGGTGCTGAATTGCAGGGATTCATGTTGGTGAGTGCTTCAGTCACCTTGTGTTAAATGAGTTTCTGTTGTTAAACACATGATCTTGAGATTATATATGAAGATGAAGACATCACTGGTTTTAGATTCAGCCCCATTCGATAATTGTAGTTACAAACTTACAATGTCGTAAATTTCAGTTTGAAAGCATAGTATAGTTCGAAATTCTGTCATCTAGTGAAGTGCTGCTCCATGAAAGTTTAATTCTTTATACTCTGGCCATCCAATTGCATCTTATTCTATTGCTATTTGAGAGTTCAGAGAGAGAGAGAGAAACCAGTACCAAGTTTTGGTTCCTTTGGTATGGGAGGATAAGGATGAACTAGGTACATGCTACAATATCAAATTGATGTCCTTTTTAACTCGGCCATCAGACCCAAATCCCAAATTTTGGTTTTCTGGCTGGCTGATAAGTTTTTGTAATTTCTGAATGGAGATGCTGCCCATGTCCACTTAGGGGTTTGATGTTGGGTACACTGAATTCATCATCATAAAATGGAGGACAATTGAGTTATCTAAATGAATTGTGTAAACCATTTATGTTTTAAGCCTTTCTGTTATTTTTTATGTGCAGAATATGGCACTTGAAGCATCATTACCTTGTGCATTTTGAGGTACTTCCTAGAGGTTTGTCCTGAGATGACTACCCTATCTCTAATAGCTGGTAATTGCGGAAGTAGAAGAGGAGGTGAAGACCAGGGTTTTGTATTTCAGTTCCGATCATATATTAGCAATGAGTTATTTGGAAGTGGTTCAATCAAAAGTTTGTTGAGAAGTGTAAATGGTGTATGGTCGAAGGAATTGGAGGGCTCCTATGTCAGAAGTGGGCGCAAGTTTCGTGTTGTTGCAAAAATTAGAAAGGGGAATAAGCATGATTACCCGTGGCCTGATGATATGGATCCAAATAGTAGCACTAATCCATTGACTTACCTCTCCTACTTCAAGCCTTTGGACCAGAAACCCAAGCCAGTGACCCTTGCTTTTGAGAAGCCACTGGTTGATTTGGAGAAAAAGATTATTGAGGTGATTTGCTCTTTATGGTACTAATTATCTGACTACTTCATGTATATTTTTTTTCCCCACACTTATTTTAACATTTTGGTGGAAGACATTAAATATGTCTCATACTCTCATGTATCTAGAATTTTATTTTTCAATTTAAGGAACAACATTTTGTTTCATGGTTATTGTTACTACGGAGGTTTTGGATGCTATCTTAGCTTGTGGTGTCTTGTTTCATTTCCTTCTTGCACAGGTACGCAAAATAGCTGATGATACAGGTTTGGACTTCAGTGATCAAATTAATGCTTTGGAAAGCAAGTATCAACAGGTAATTTTGGAATTGTTTCACATAATATTTTCCGTCTGCGAATCCAACCGCAGATAAAGCTTGATTCAAAATACAACTTTGTTATGTTGGTAATGTGATTTTTATTGCTAATTTTAGCCTTTTTTTCTCTTTTATGCTGGAGAATAGGTTTCAATAAATTCTGTTGGAGACTGAATTGTATGTCAAGGGTCTTAACTATTGTACGTAACAATTATAAATGCTAGTTTGGAGAAAAATAGTTAATTCAAGCTGCAAATTAGGCCCTGCATTAGCACAAGTTATTTTTTATTTAAATTTTGATCTATGTCCATGGGTTTCAACGTAATTACTTTCAGGTAATGAAAGATGAATCTTCATTCTTATTTGATGATGTTCATGCTGTTCCAATGCTAATTTTTTGTAGCATACTTTCAGGCTCTTAAGGATTTATACACACATTTGACACCCATTCAACGCCTGAATATTGCTCGGCATCCAAATAGACCAACTGTTCTTGATCATATCTTTAATATAACAGATAAGGTACACCACTAGCTTTTGTCATCATTTTGTCATTTTAACTGTACTCCCATCTAAAGCACATACACTCTACCCATTTTGATTTTTCGTAAAGTGGGTGGAACTCCATGGAGACCGTGCAGGCTATGATGATCCAGCCATTGTGACTGGTATTGGGAGCGTAGATGGTAAAAGCTACCTGTTCATAGGCCATCAGAAAGGTAGGAATACAAAGGAAAACATTGCGCGCAACTTTGCAATGCCAACTCCCCATGGGTATGTTTCAAATATCATCCACTGGACAAGCTAATTATTATTCAACGTGCACAGGCTTTCAGCTGCTTCATTTACTTGACAAAACTATAGTAATTATGATTGTTGATCATTTCTACATATAAGATTGTTATGTATTCATGACTTCAGGGTGGGACAGCTTTTTGTTTTTTCTAGGCTTCAACCCAGTACAAGAAGCCATTTTCCCATGGATTAAGGGCCTCACGACAATATGTGTCATTCAGTTTGTAGAGGCCACACTATGTAGTCCCATTGATTTTAGTTCAATTTTTAAAATTTCTGCAAATTACTAGCAGCCCCTCATTTGAATTCTCTAAGAAAACTTACT